ACTGCTACAGTTTAAATGTCTATACAGTTTTGGTTGGCTTTCTTCTGTTATTCAAAAGAATTTTATAAATTTACATAAAATTCCGTCTCAGGTCAGTGTTTGAATCTAGAAATATCTCAAAAGGTGAGGGCATTTTTTTCAGTGACATCAGTCATTATGTATATTTTTTAACACTTCAAATACATGTGTGCACCACTCCTTAAATCCCACAATGATAAATGTAAACACATTATCTGTAAGCTTTCCCATATAGTCTAGCCTGTTACTATTATTATTTTTGTTATACAGAAATGCTACAGTTTACATGTCTACACAATTTCGGTTGGCTTTCTCCTATTATTCAAAAGAATTATATACATTTACACAGTCGCAAGACATATATATCACAGATCTTACTGCTACACAGGAAACCTATTCGTATCCTTTACCGACTTTTCTTACTATTTCATGCGCAGTTTCTATTCCTTTCCTCTTGAGTCAAATTAGATTGTTATCTCATGCTCATATTTCCATTTATTTCAGCGATACTTCAAGTCACATTTTATTCAGTGCGTGAGGACGAACAAGCTATTGATGATCAACGCTCACTAAATTCACACGCTGTTCTCTGTTTTGTCAAAATTTGCAGTTATGCCTCCCAAACGACAAGCGATTGGCCCATCTACACCTAAAACACGCAAGAAAAGGGCAATACTTGCTTCAGAAACAGACTAGCAACATAAGGTAAGACTGGAAACCATTCGAGTGCGCACTGCTGAAGCCCGTTCGTCTCAATCAGACCAGCAACGGAAAGCAAGACTATAAAACGTTTGAGTGCGCACTGCTCAGGCCAGATCATCTCAGTCAGACGAGAAACGAGAAGCAAGACTGGAAACCAATAGTACGCACTGCTCAAGTCCGTTTATCAGAAACAGTCGAGCAAAGGAAAGCAAGATCGGAAACCGTTCGAATGCGGCGCACTACTTTATCCAGGCGAACAGCGCATGCTCATTTGAATCTTGGTGCATTAAATTACAACAGCAATTATGATTACAGTCTTCATCCACAGGTGCTTATTGGCAAAATGGATAAATTGTGCGTACACTGCAGTGCCTTCAAATGTAAGAATGAAACACCGGGAATGTGCTGCGCTGGTGAAGAAGTTAAATTGCCAGTATTAGATTCACCACCCGAACCGCTATCATCATTGGTAGCAGGTGATACAGGCCAGTCGAAACATTTCTTGGCAAACATTCGCGAATACAATTAATTTTTCCAGATGACATCATTCGGTGCAACAAATATTGTGCGCGAGAATTACATGCCGACATTCATAGTGCAAGGCCAGATTTATCATCGTGCTGGCTACTTACTACCACTGCCCGACGCAGATTACACATTTCTTCAGATTTATTTCATGGGGAACACTGATCAACAAATTAATCAACGTTGTCGATTCAATAAGTGGACACAACGAGAAATAGTCGCAGCTTTACAAACTTAATTTGATCAACACAACAAATTAATTAGATTGTTCAGAACTGCTCTTCAACAAATATTAGCTGATGACTACAGAGTTGTACTCCGAGCTGACAAAACACCTGTCCGCCAATACGAAAGACAGTACAATGCACCAACAATTGATGACGTGGCGATTGTTATGGTTGGCAAAGACTTTAACTCGTGTGATATAATTATTCATCGCATAAATTTTATGGCGACGCATACATATATTAACTTTGAAGACCAATATGCGTATACAATTACAACATGATGCAACCGCTGAACGATTCGCAAAAGATTTGTTGAAAATTGGGAAGGAGACAATGCCAACCAATGAATTCTCAAGTTGTATCACATTGCCAACATACTTCTGTAAAATTACAGCTACCAAAGACGAATTGATTCACAAAGTGTTCCCTTATATCAGACAGAATTACAAAATTATCAGTGTCTCAGTGATAGTGTTCTATTAGCAGCTAAAACACGGATGTGTACGTCATGAATCCAAACATTCAAGACAATTTACCAGGCGAAGTGAGAACGTATAAGTCTTGATATTGTAATGAATCAAGACGAGCTTGTCAATTATCAAACTGAGTTTTTGAATTCACTTGATTTGTCAGGCATGCCACACCATGTTTTAACCATGAAAATTGGTGTGCCTATCATTCTTCTCAAAAACATCAATCCGCCACGTCTTTGCGATGGTACCAGGCTTTCAGTGAAAAAAAAAAGATGCTGCCCAATATCTTTGAAGGTACAATTTTAAATGGGAAATTTAAGGGTGAGAATATACTATTGCCACGCATCCCAATGATTCCAACAGAAGTGCCATTCGAACTCAGACGCTTGCAGTGTCCGGTGTGACTCGCCTTTGCAATGACCATAAACAAATCACAGGGACAATCGCTACAAGTGTGTGGACTACATTTCGGACATCAATGCTTTTCACATGGACAGCTATATGTTTACCATAGTGTTTATTTCCTAATTATGGTGAATTTTTCCTGTTTTCGTTGCTTTTCACTAGGGTAATTTTTTAAACAACTTCGATGAGGGAAAAAGTAGTGGGTGAACTGGGGGATTGGGGGGGGGGGGTAAAGGACCTGTTTACTGAGATAGATTTAAATTACAGTAACTGCCTTCTTACTCACTTAAAGTATTAGTAGTTGTAGGTGGGCGGTTGCACTGTACATCGCTGGCGTGCAGCGAAGCAAAATTTCTATGTTCCTAATTTTCCATTAGGCCAAAATATGCCACAGCAACGCGTGGCCGGGTACAGCTAGTTTCTTTATAAAATAGACTAAGGCTAATTATATCTGCATATTTCATCTACAAGAAAGAGTTCAGAATTCAATATTGTTCTCATATAACTATAACTGTAACCAATGCAATATATATATATATATATATATATATATATATATATATATATATATATATATATATATATATATATATATATATATTTAAATGAACATTCTTCAACTCTTTTACGTTTCTCTCCTCAGGTTATCTTAGACTATTCTAGATTATCTATTTTCCTCTGGCTCCCTTTTTAATCTACCCGCTGTGTCTTGTTGTGTCTTGACCGGCTAAGACCTCTCTTTATATAGGGCTTTTGCAGACTGTTGTGGAAATTTCTAAGTATCTCAGGATACACATTGACAACTGGACCACGAAAATACATTGTCGCAATAAAATTTGGGGTATTCTCAACAACACGGTATTTACACGTACAGTACGGCTGGGTAACATGATGCTTCTAACTAGATTTTTGGAAGCCTGTAGATAGGATGGTCACCAGGGACCGGGTTGACGTATACCAATTCCCTTATTTCTTTGTTGTGTCGGGAAAGAAAGTGTCTAGAAAGAAGGTTGCTGATTTCCACTGTATTTAGCGCAGTGTCCATGTTACAGGTGAGCACAAAAGTAAAGAAGAAAAAGATTTGTCAAGAGGATACTGGAGGGTATACTGTGTGTGTTTGTGTTTACCTAGAGACTCAGTATTGAACATAGAGGGAATAGTTCAGTTTACTGGCATCTTACACGATAGAATTCTGAGGGACACAATTAGACAACACACTATCAGACTGTGCTATGCCGCCTCCACTAACAGATTCAACCTTGTTAAGTCTGAGAGGCATCACTTCTAATTGCTTGATCCAGTTATTGTGTGATCTTGAAAGATTGTCTGTGATTATTATTGGGCTTTGGCTAGAACCATTATTTTCTTTAAACAGTGTGCGGCTATATTGTCATCAAATGCCAACTGAATCATGGAGGAAGCTGAGGCAGTCTTTAAATGTGGGCGTGTTTGTGTGCGTGTGTCTGTGTGCGTGTTGTGTGTGTGTGCGTGCATGTGTGTATGTTTGTGTGTGTATGTGTGTGCGCGCTGATTAAGAAGTCATATTTTATGAGATAAAGGAACCAGGTCCACTTTTTTAAGGCCTACTGAGCATACAGTTCTAGATCTATATTTTATCAACAAATCGGCACTCCAGCCGCCTATTCTTGCCATGACTTTTAGTCAGTAACCATTTTGGACTGGGTCGACGTGAAGACAAGGTCAATTTCTTTTTTTAAATCCTGCAGTGTGCGGATCTGAACCCACAACCTTCAGACTAGCAGGCAAGTGTGTAACTGCTTTAGTAGAGCAACTCACAGGTTCTGAGATAGCGTTCGCAAGAGTTGTTCATTTCTCTTTCTATTTTGGGTCTTTGGTAGAATGCCATTTCCAGGTACTAACTCTGATTTATTTGTTTGTAAATCTACACTTTACTGTCGGCTCTGTGGCTAAGTCGATGCGAACGCTTAGTAATGCCGGGGTGCCGGGTTCGATCCCAACTGCGGGCCGTGCGCCTTGCGTTGGTTTCGACAGTGGTATTAGGGTGCCGACCATCCAGTTAGCAATGCCAAACTACTGGACATAAATTTGCCTAGAGAAACCACACAACAGCCAGGGGCTGCTGTGGTTGGTTCTGCAACGTCCTAAAAAGGAAACGCAAATAACTACCACTACTACTATATTTACGTTCCGCTTCTCTCTTCCTATTTGCAATACTCGTGTTTTTCATTCTCATATTATTTGTCGTACATTACTGATTCTTATAGTGTCGATATAGCAAGCCTAACATAGACATTAAGTAAAGCACGTTAACGCAAAATCACCATTTGCGAGATGAGAAGCCTAAGGAAAGTACCAACCTGAGAACTAGGGAATAATGATACTATCAGAAGATCAGACACACAAGCAACAGGATGTTCACAAAAATAGGGATGGACAACATTACGACTCTTTACGCCCCCACGATATTACAATAGACAGTGCTAGCCAGCGTACACTGGATCACAAATTATTCATCCCCACGGAGCTCATCAGTGGGAGTTGTTTCTGATCATGATGATGACGATACTGATGGTGTGGGATACAGGAAGAATATTACATACGATTATAATACACACCTACGTGTTACACGTAATTCATTTTGGAAATTTGTATAGACATATATTCTTACCTCACTTAACTGTAGCCATAGTTGTTCTTTCAGTTGTTGGTTTAATAGATTCGCAGAATTGATGAAGGCCGAAGGATATATGACTCCAAAATTGGCAAACTCAAACGCAATAATGACATTGGTGAAATGATCGGACGCAGCATTATACAGCGTGAATTCCACAAATATGCATCTGTGTTGAGAAAATGTCTCCTATTTTAGATATACATTTTATTATGAATGGTTGCCGCGATTTAAAACTGTTATTATACAAGGATTATTTGATGCATATCAGGTGTGACTTCTACTTAATCGTGTCGAGCGTTACAGTTAGAATTATTGCAGCGACCCGCTCTTTGATCTGGAGGATGTTCATTATCTTTTAGCTCCGTTTCAAACGTCACAGGTACACAGTGTAACGAGGAATTTTAAATTTTTCTAAACTTTTTGAGATGTCACATACCTATATCCATTAAAGACTTTTTGTAGTAAAAGTTTGAAATCTAGGTAATCACTGTAGACGACCTACTACTGTCTACCTCCTAAAAGCCCATATTGATTAAACCTTTAACATGTTAGAGAAGAACGGTGAACAAAAGAAAACGAATCAAATGGCCTCTTTCAAGCAATAAGTGCATCGAGTATATGGTACTAGACCCATTCAGTGTGTAGTCCAAAACAACTAATCATCACTCCATGCGTGGCAAAGTCACAAACACCAGCGGTCGCCTTTACTTCCAGGCACATTGTGATATTAGCTGCAGGCTTGGCACACATGAAAAGTCAATTAAACAGTTCCATGTCTGATTTAAGCGGCGTCCGTGGCTAAGGCGTTGCGAGCCCGACTCGTGAGCCAGCATACCGCGATCGAAGCCCACTGCGGGCTGCGTGGATTTTTTTCGTGGTATGGGACGTCGCAGGTCGACCCAGCCTAAAATGGGTACCAGGATGGGCTGTCCTGGGAAAGTAAAGACAGCCGGCGTAATGCTGACCACATTACCCACAGAGTGCTGATGGTCTGTAAAAATATGGGACGCTCTGCCCATATGCCCAATGCGCCGAAAGGCGTGAAAAGGGAACTTTACTTTTACTTACTTTTATGTCTGATTAATGAATGTTGATATCAATTGCGTGACAACAGTCTTAAGGCTGTCACTGAATGAAAGGGTATTTATGATATGTTTTAAAAATATACTGAACAATTCTTTGGGAAAACAAAAGTAATACAACCGGATTATGACAAAACATCAAAAGTTACAGTCTTCTTTTTCTCTTCCACCTTATACCTCATCAAATTGTCGGGGAGATGTAATGTTCGTTGATGAGCTCTGTCAAGAGCACTATTAAGACTGATGTTCATTTCTGCAATGCTGTTCCTAATGTCATCACTCCATATTTTCCGAGGTCTTCCACTCGCTCTATACCTGTTAGAACGTTTTAGTGTGGCTCGCTGCGGCAGATAGTGCCTGGGCATTCTTCTTAGGTGTCCAAACCACTTCATGTGTTGTTCTTTGATGACAAGTAAGACTGGCTCTATTTCTAGCATTCGTCTGATTTCGTGATTTAATATTATGTCTTTCCTTGAACCTCCTGCAGCTCTTCTAAGGCATTTCGTCTCTGTTGTCACAATTTTACGTTCATTGGAGGTTGTAAGTGACCACGTTTGGCATTGATAGCATAGTTTTGGCCAAAAGATAGTTCTGATAAGATTTAAAGTTACAGTGCTCAGTGTAAAGACAAGCGCCACAGACCCCGAACTGACAGGATCGAATCATTCTAACCAAAGCTTGCAAATTAGTATTCGGTCAGGTCAATTTATGTAAAGGAAATAGGAAACACTCAGAAGATAGACAAGACTCGGGAAACAGGCAACACTCATGTCATAGACAACACTCGGGAGACAGTTAACACTCAGGTTAAAGGCAACAATCAGGAGATAGACAATGCTCAGGAGATTTACAACAATTAGGAGATAAGCAACACTCAGGGGATAGGCGACACTCAGGGGATAGGCAATACTCGGGGGATAGAAAACACTTTGGAGATAGGCAACGCTCAGGAGATAGGCAATGCTGAGTAGAAAAGCAACACTTAGTGGATAGGCAACACTCAGGAGAAAGGCAGGAGATATAAAACACTCAGGAGAAAGGCAACGCTTAGTGGATAGGTAACACTCAGTGGATAGGCAAAACTTGGGGGATAGGCAGAACCCTTGAGATAGGCAACACTCAAGGGATAGGCAACACTCAGGAAATAGGCAACACTCAGGAGATAAGCAACATCTAGGAGACAGTTAACAGGTTAAAGGTAACAATTAGGGGATAGGCAATGCTCAGGAGATAGGCAACAATTGGGAGATAAGCAACACTCGGGGAATAGGCTACACTCAGGGGATAGGCAACACTCAGGGGATAGGCAACACTCGGGGGATAGGAAACACTTAGGAGATGGGCAATGCTCAGTAGAAAAGCAACACTTAGTGGATAGGCAACACTCAGGAGATAGGCAACACTCAGGAGATAAGCAACACCTAGGAGATAGGCAATTCTCAGAAGACAAGCAACACTCAGGGGGTATGAAACACTCAAAGGGATAGGCAACACTCAGGGGATAAGCAACGCTCACGAGATAGGCAACACTCAGGGAATATTCTACACTCAGGGGAAAAGCAAGGCTTAGGAGATAGGCAACACTCAGGCGAAAGACAATTCTCAGGGGATAAACAACGTTCAAGGGATAGGCAACACTTAAGGGATAGGCAACGCTTGGGGGATATGCAACAACACTCAAATGATAGGCGGCACTCAGGGGACAGGCAACACGCATTGCATAGGCAACACTCAGGGGATAGACACGATGGACGTACAATGAGACTGGAATTCTGCCCTGTCTGCGCAAGATAGGGACACATTGTTTATGTGAGTGTTCGACGTTTATCGATGTCGGTTCTTAATTCAACTCAGCTCAATCCCCAACACACCTAAATACGTTGAAAATACTCGATTACCAGGGCTTGCGAAACGATGCTTGCCACATTGCACGAAGCATATTTGTGTCTCCACTATTCTCAGCATGATTTACTTAGTCAGATGCAATAACGACAGATGTAGAGACAGAAGAACTGGCTCAACTTTTTATATTTCATATCAAAGGTGGCACCGTCGAAATAAGCACTGGTTTCAATATAAGTATTCTTTTTATGCTTTGTGTGTATACAATTATGATTCAATTTCTTAAAATATTCACTTGGCATGTTAAGTGTTTTTAGTTTAATATACACCTTTCTATCGCAGCAGAAATTAAAAGCTTCTACAGTGTGCACTGCAATGATGACGTATTTTAGTCAATATGGCAACAACTCCACAATGTCTACAAAGAGAAAAAAAAAAATTTGGAATGTAAACGACATGTCATTATACTTTGTTAATTGATCAATCCAGTCTGATTTGAAGAGCTTGGTAAGTGCGTCCTCTATTGCTCCAAGATCATCCTGACTAAACGGTACAACATATCCGCCACCCGAGTAGATTCCGTGCTGGCCTGAGCAGACAGTTGAAGTATAAACATTTGCATTCACATTCTCAATGATCATAATTAAAAAACAAAAACAGTTTAACAGTAAACGGGAACGTTCGAGGGAATTACTGTTTACATTTTCAGCCAGGTAAATAAAACCAAGGCCTACAATATGTCTAAAATAATACCACCCACCCACCCACCCACCCCCCCCACCACACACACACACACACGCACACGCACACACACACACACACACGCCACAGTTATTTTATTAATAGTAGTTGTACGTAGTATATATATATATATATATATATATATATATATATATATATATATATATATATATATATATACATATTTACACACACACATTTATTTTATAAATAGTAGTTGTATGTAGTATAAATCACTTGTATCCAAGTTAAAGTGGTTGGCAGTGAAAGTCTCACACCATGAAACAGTTCTTCTACTCAGAAAACATTGTAACTTAGTCGTCAGCTAGTTTCTAAAAGACATATTGATTGTTGTCAGCAATTCTAAGTTGATCTCCAATATATAGACGGTGAACAATTGTGAAAAGAAGACATCTGGTTGATGCACGTTTAGTTTAGAAACAATCGGCACCTCTAAATTACCCCGGTTGGTTAAAATATTATTATTTTACTACATATTCGTAAAGGGCTACAGCAAACGCTACTTCAACTATTACTGTTATTGCTACTGTTATTATAATAACATCAGTCTACTACTACTGCTAGCAGCCCTGCTGGTACTACTACTACTACTACTACTACTACTACTACTACTACTACTACTACTACTACTACCACTACTACTACTACTACTACTACTAATACAGTTTTTACTAATACAGCCGCCTCAACAAAAACAACAGCTGCAACTACTACTGCTGCTAACATTGCTACTACAACATTCAACTCGCCGTGAAATTAGAACTGTTCATGATATCCGGTTGCAGCTTACAATAAGTATATACCTTGTTGACTTAGTCTGTCTGTGAATTGTCTGCACTGTTGATACATGGATATAGAGAGTTAACAAGACTAGATGGCTCCAAAAACAAGGCAGACATTTTACCTGAGAAATGCATGTTCAAGAGGTTGAGTCTACACAAACAATGTAACAAACATGACAAAAGCTAGGATACAAACATTATCAGCAGAAGCAGTGAAAACAGTATCAAAGGAGAGTACAGCAAAGTACATCACTATATGTGTATCCATTTCCTGTCGCAGTTTACACAAAAGGGTTTCACACGAGATCTCCACTGTTGCCGATTGCTGCTTATCTGCCTACTACATACCCTATAAAACTGCATATTTTACATGCCCATTTCTACTATTCTTCTCCAGGTTTAATTAAGTAGTCCATATCTCCTTTTTTTCCATCTGCTATCAGACAGCTGTTCTTGCCAGATCAGGAGAAATTTTGCGGACATTTCAAGCCATCGCAATCTGCTTTCTTTCATAACGTTTTAAAGTGGTGTCCATTTTTTTAAAAATTCTTCTAAGCTCTTCATGTGTGATCTTGTCTGCTGAAAACGTTTTCAGCATTCTCTTGAGACATTTATTTTTCATAACTCAGTAGTCTACAGTGCACATCAGATATTCAAAATGCAGATAAATCTATTTAGTTTTGATCAGAGTTACAATAGACAGCTATACCAAAGACACAGTAAATGGCTTATCTAAATCGTTATGTAAAATCAGCTGCAATTCTGAAGACGCGTATCTTCGACATTGTTAATTGTATTACCGACATAAAAGAAAGAGAAGGTCACTTACTAAAAGTACAGTAATGTTTCCACATATTTTAACAGAGCATTAGAGAAGCGTGTCATAAGCGATTTCATAAGCCTTATAAATGTTTTTATCGACACATTTATTATAGTCGCCTTTAATTCTAATATAGAGTTCAGTTTTCGGATTAGTCAGAAGGCCTTTAAAAGCGTGACAGGTTAAGGGTCAAGGGTTAGTTAGGAACGTGTACGAAGTAAATATGTGATTGTAGTTAACGAAAGAGTGACTGGAAGGAAATAGCAATAAATGAGAAGAAAGGATTAAACGCGAGGAAGTAGGAATAAGGATCAGTTGGTGTTTGACAGCGAGAGAGGGAGGCTGGAACTACTGCGGTTGATTTGAATAATGACAGCTGACAGTGGGGTCAAATATGATAAATGAAAGGAATATAGTTAAAACAAGAGTGACACAGTGCTAAACGATCGTGTGGCCGAGAATGCTTGTTTGGTTATGTGTCTGAGACGAGATACCATGGAGTGTACAAGGTTACTGACTTATGGTTAACTTTTTAGATCTGAGGGTGACAGATCCCTAAAAAACGAGTAATGACTAAGGACAGCGACGAAATGACGCAATTGTTGGAACAGCAATTGGACTCACGGTCCATTGCATTTACTACGTGCGCATATTTCTGGACTGTGCTGGGACTAATTGTTTGTTCACCAGTTTTTCAAATGGGACAGTGAGGGACATTTTATTTGATTTCAACTGGCACAAGAACGGAGCAAGTATGGGAAAACCCGATTGCAGTAAATTCAAAACCTTGAAAAGACTAAGAGAATCAAGATGAGATGATGATGAGATAAGATAATGGTACGAATTGCGAAATGCAATATACTTGTTGTAGTTTGTTTTGACCAGAGAAGATATGTCAGTTAAACACATGATTCATCAGCCATGCCCATGTAGCACGCTATATTATTTAGTTGCAAAGAAAACAATTTTTTATATCACTAACACACCTATTAAAATAGCGCCATTTAACTCCTTTGAACTTCTGTACACGTAGGGAGAATCATCGATGATATCTTTGGACGTGTTAGACAACACTTCCCACGTAGACTCGTATGTGTTGGTTTCTTCTAGTACATAGAACGATGAGTAGGAACAGGTCTCCTCAATGAACAGACCTCGCAGTGCATTAGGCAGCTTTTCGCAAGCATCTGCGCAAAAAAAAATAATTGATCATGCGTTTACAAGAAAATCACATATTTAAAAAAAAAAAAAAACAGTACAGGGCTTGACAGATGGGTTTAACGTCAAATTGTCTAGCTGTAGACCCGGATTCGATCCATGATAAGGTGAGGTTTGGTCGAATGGTTTTAACGTAGAGCGGCTATGCTGGAAACCCGGGTAAGATGATAAAGATTTTCTGTCGGCGGCATAAAAAAAATCGTAATCTGCACTGTCCGTTGCAACAGAACCAGCCATGCGACCCTAAATCTGCAAGCTCGGGATCCCCTGTCTACGCTGCCCTGAAAAGTCATAAAACAGACAGTAGTGACGGTGAATCTAACCCTAAACCAGTCAATACACTGTACTGTAGCTCATATTTGCAATACAGCATTCCAACAGCGCGACCAAGGTATATCTTTTGGCTGTGCTGTTTTAGTATTGAATCCTGATCATGAAGGATTTTTCTCCTCCTTTTTTTTTTGGAGCGTTTAACGGCAGAAAAAAACCGTTGGACAGTTCTGGTGTTCGTCCACTTCTGGACTTTGGTCTTTTCCTTGACCTTAGTTTGCTTGCAGTTGTGTTATACATATGTGGTCTATTTGTAAGCAGGTTGTGAATTTCTCGTCTCTCTTGTACTCGTTCCCTGTGTCGACATCCAAACACATGGGTCAGACGCATTCATACTGCACCCTCGTATGCAGCAGCCAGTTTAGTGTCGCCGTGCTCACTTGGTAGCCAATGTCTCTTTTTTTTTTTTTTTTGGGGGGGGGGGGGGGGGGGGGGTGGGGGTGGGGGTGTGTAATACTATCAGACTCAATTTGGATTTGTAGTCTGCACTGCCATAGACCGTCTAGCTAGAATGGACACACCACATGCTGCCATACTTCTGCAATTAATCGTTACAGGTCGACATATTTCGTCTGTAAGGAATGGAATCACCCCGTGGGTGTCCAGGGGGACGTTTTCGGTTTTAGGATATCTTTTTTGTCATCGATCTACAGCAGAACGTATGTATGCATGGAGAACAGCACGTGACCATTTGTGCATTTGGTCTGTATTTAATATGAGGCTGTAACATCACCATGCCTCCCACACGCTTTTCGATGTGATACGTTTACTTCAAATTTGCCTGGTAAAAGTAAAGGACACTATCGCAGAGACCATTTGAATTCAACCATAAGCCACAAGAACTTAGAACTGTAAAAGCTATGTATATAGGTTTCTTACCATAGTCACCCCGTGACCTAACCTGTCTCAAACGAGCAGTGCCCATTAAATAAATATCGTAGTCAATAGAGATTGTGCCTTTATCTTTCAACATCTGCGGGGCAACAACGGTCCGGATGTAATGCAACAAGTCTTCCACCGAGTGTACCTGTAATATTAACGCATCAATGCATGTGAATTGATGACAGTTATGAAGGTTTGCATCAAAATGTCAATAAATCTAATTCTAAACGATCTGTAATGTGTACCTTTAAATTGCCAACTTTGTTGAATATATTTTTCTACAGCTTCACTGCCAAGTTCATGCATTTCCGTTGCACATACTCACTTTTCTCCTCACCGAATATTGTCAAGTATGCTTACATGTCTAATTGATCCATTTGAGATCTTCCGCTTTTCAGTCTGTGACTCTTGGCTCTATCCAAGGATTTATGTAGGAGTAACTGGAGTGATAGTGACTTCAATATCATAAAACTATGTATGGTAGAATAATGTCTTATGTGCCATTTACCCAGTATGTATTATATCAACGCCAAGAAATGTGATCTTTTTATTTGCCTATTAATTAAGCTGTAGACATAGGGGTGTTATTATAATAATCTTCCTGGCAGATGCTGTGGTCCCGTTTAAAGAAACAAAATTAAGCAACCGAATTGGGAAAGAGACAAATGGAGACAAGGGAGATATGGTATAAGATAGAACACAAGAGGCAGAAAACAAAGAAAAAAGACAGCAAGCAAGAAAAAACTCCCGACTTCAAGAAAGAACAGGGAGAACAGAAATTCGAGATCTTGCTATAGCAGGGACTTTAAAATGAAACCTAGGAGCTTCCAACAGAGTGCTCTATACAAAGCTCTAAAGAAAGAAATTATTGTTTATGTATGTGCAACAGTGTTGTGCGCACATAGTTATTTGCATGTTAGGTTAGCTGCGTATCCTTTTACAGGACGTTGCAGAACTAACTCCAGCAGCCCCTGGCTGTTGTGTGGTTTCTTTAGGCAAATTTACGTCCAGACGGTCAGACCACTGATGCCACTGTCGAAACCAACGCAAGGCTCATGGCCCGCAGCTGGGATCGAACCCGACACTCTGGCATTACGAAGCGTTCGCAACGACTTAGCCACAGAGCCGACTATCTGCATGTAACTGGTAATATTAGCATGAAGACTCTTCGTTAGTACTGAAGAAGGGGACGGATCACGTATTTAAATGTGCCGAGCGCAGTGATTTGAATTCTCTTGTATCCTTCATTTTGACATTTTGAGTATGTTGTAGAATGTTGGCAACCTCTTAAACTCTTTGATAAATTTGATTTAATTAAAAAATGCTGTTCAATGACATTGCGGAATTACCCCATTGTCCCTTACTTTAAAAACTATTTATAATTATTTTGTGTCACATAATCTCTTGTTTCACACTAGAAAAGGAGGGGGTGGGGGGTTACGTGGTCTCGAGGCATGGTGTCCGCCTCGAGTGCCGAAGGTTCAGGGATCAGTCCCCGGTAAAGGCTGGGATTTTTTTCACGTGGACTTGGACTTGTAGTAATTCCCCCTGGTCTAGTGAGATCGGACGGCTCTGTGCACTGCGCGGAGCTTCTTTGGACTCAGACTTGAGTTAGAAGAAGAACGGAGCACTTATGGATTACTATCCTTGTGCTATGATGTTGATCTGTTGTTCAAACTTCTTCTTCTTCTTCTTCTTCTTCTTCTTCTTCTTCTTCTTCTTCTTCTTCTTCTTCTTCTTCTTCTTCTTCTTCTTCTTCTTCTTCTTCTTCTTCTTCGTTCACTGGCTGTGAATTTCAGCGGAAGATCAGGTTAGTCGTCCGCTTGAACTTTTGGCTTTTACCTGAACCTGAGTTTTGCGTGTACAACCGTTTTTATTGGCTTTCGCCGTTCCCTGCTTCACGGGAAGATGTACTCCGACTTCGAGGGAAGACGTCAGGCTTATTTCTAGGATGACTGTGGCCATTGTTTTGTGTGGTGTCCTCTTTGTCCCTTTCTCCACAGGTGTTGCCCCCGGAGTACCCCCTTTGGGGCAGCCCCGTGTGGAACGGTTAGCCAGGGGCAGATCATGGGCATTCCCCGCCATCCAAGGAGGCTTCCATAAATGCCGAGCCGGCACATAACGCTTTGGTTCTGGGCTCACCCAAGGAATCGTCACGTCCTGCACATAACTGCTTAACCTCGCAACCGTATTAGGCTTCCGGCTCGAAACGGGCTGCGCCCTCCGGAGATCAGCGGGTAGCAGCCTGTGGGTTCTAGACTTTTGAGACCACACGAATAGGTACAGTCTTTTTCATCGCACGATTGTCATCCTTAGCGTGCTGTTAGCACGACAGAATGGAGAATTCTGCGTCAGGCATGTTTTTTTTTTTTTCTGTTTGGTCGCAACACTCAGGCGAGTGAGGTCTCCGTATGTGGACATTTTGACTTTTTCAATCAATAGATTAATTGTGATGGTTGGATTTTGAGCTTGCTCGTGTGCCGTAGGATCTATTTTTGTCAGACAGTTGGGCTTTACCAGCCGATGGATGGTTGCTGCCTTGGTGTACCTCAGCGCGGTGGCGACGACACAGAGGGTTGACAGAGGATGTACATAGGTAGAATCTTGCTGCGAGACGCCACCCACAGGAGATGTTACTCGTCTGTGCTGCGGGTAAATCTCTAGGTGAAGGGTTGAGTCTCAGCAACACAATGCTCTCTCCACCCCACAATCTTTTAATCGAGGGTTGTCATTTTAGTTGTACATTTGGCAAGCACTTTACTCATGTTCCTAATGAGTTTTGATAAGCTTTTTCACCCATGCGTTTGGGGGCGGGCTGATGAGAGCCACAAGGACACTACACCTCTGATGCCGCCAACTCCGACATCCCCTGACAGCTCTGTTAATGCTCATTTGAGACATTATCTTTGGCGCACGACGAGGACATGCTGTAGGAGTCTTGCGTGAGGTTCTGTAAAACCAGAACAGTGCAGGACTGGCGCCCTAATGACGTACGGAGTAACTCCTTAAACACATCATGTTGGACAGGACTTTACCTCACGCCTGTGACAGAGATCACTGCGCCACTGTTCAAACTTAAAAAAGCTAGTAAAACATAATACTTGAAAAAAAGACACATTGTTGAGCATTAACATACCTTCTCCAGCTCGCCGAGAGATGCGTATTCCTGTAATACAGAATCACTACATTCAGTTACTTGTGTTATTATGTTTTCTTTACACAAATTAGTAACGTTTCATAAACATCTACATCTACCTCATATCTGTGAATCTTTACAGCAAAGCCGTTGGCTAAAAAAAAAAAAGAAATAAGGAAGAAATAACAATAAAATGTAAGCAGTGCCCGAAGGAAAGGACACAAGGCTTGCAAGCATAAACAACAATGGCACAGTATAGAAACATGTAACTTTTGTTTGCTTAAAATTTTGCTTTTTTAAACGACTCTTAGATTTAGACGACGGATGAACATCGTGGCACAATGGTAGTAACCCATAAGTGCTCCGTTCCACTTCTGACTCAAGCCCGAGTCTCAAGAATCTCAGCGCAGTGCTCGAACTCCCTAGCACCGGCGAGGATCCTGAAATACTTTAGGTAGATTTTTAACTCTAAATTTTCCCCCGGCAGCAACGTTAGGCTTCTCTTTTTCGATTTCTAACTGCCAAAGGATACACACGGGTGTCTGAACTTACTACCCAGAAACGATAGGAAATTACTAGAAGTCCACGTGAAAAAAAACCTAACCTTCACCGGGGCTATAACCCCAGACCACCAGCACTTGAGGCGGACGCCATGGGCCAGGACCACGACCACGCATATGTTGCTAGATACATATTGTTATAGACCAGTCAACACTTGACAGGCTAATGTGGTCATCATCATGTTGAGCATCTTTTCTTCTGAAAATATCTCATGGAGCCTATTTTTAACAAGTGACAACGCGAACCAATGAAAACTATCAATTAGTAAATGGAAATCACTGCGGACACCCTACCAGCATGATGACTGGAAAACAAAGACAATAAGAAGAAACATCAACCGGGGAGCATGTTCAGCCGGAGTCTACCAGTCATCAGTAGAAGTGATCCCTTGTCAAAAAATGTTTTGGCCCACGAGCTCCTAGACACTTTCCGAAGATGGGCCCACATGAGCACATGAAGATCGTGGTTTTTCTGCTCCTCCTTCATGTATTACCGGATGTAAACTACACCTAACTGCAACATGATGCCACTAAGATCATTCTTCTTCTTCTTCTTCTTCTTCTTCTTCTTCTTCTTCTTCTTCTTCTTCTTCTTCTTCTTCTTCTTCTTCTTCTTCTTCTTCTTTTTCTTCTTCTTCTTCGTCTCCTTCTTCCTCTTCTTCTTCTTCTTCTTCTTCTTCTTCTTCTTCTTTTTCTTCTTCGCTTTTTTTTTCTTTTTCCTCCTTCTTCTTCTCCTTCTTCTTCTTGGTGTACTTTCTCTTCTTCTTTTTTCTTTCTCTTCTTCTTTTTTCTTTTTCTTCTTCTTCTTTTTCTTCTTCTTCTTCCTCTTCGTTTTCTTCTTCTTCTTCAAGTTTATATGTTGGAAATTCTAGCTTAACGATTTGTTGTTTTTTTTTGGTCCATTTTTTGACTTTTATCCTGTTTTGGGACTTGAGATTTACGTGTACATTGGATTTATACATCTGACTTGTTTGCACGTTGACTGCTGGTTCTTTGCCTTTCAGGCAGAAGCAACCCGACTTCCAAAGAAACATCCCTAATGAAGAATATTTTTCTTACGACACGCTCTTTAGGAGACAGTGAACCTATTCTTTTACACCCCCCCCCTCCCCTACCCTTCCCCTCCCCCCCCCCTCCCATCCTTGACTGTGAGTCTGGGAACCTAGATGGTCAGCGTGCAATAACAATGACTGCACATACCTGTAGGTACCACCTATGACGATGATAATAAAATTAGCATCAACTGTTAGTAGTACTCTATTACACGCAGACAATGTTAGAGAAAACAGTTTGCAACAAATGTGTCAAAGATGTTGGGTCGCACCTCTCCTTCAGGGTCCTCAAATATCGGCGTTTTGAGAAACTTGTGTTTCACATACTGGGTCTGTAGAAACTGACTCCGAACATCCATATGTCCATAGGCAACCAGGAGCACTGACATCATAAATATGGTGTAGAAGAACAAGTCTCTTAGCATCTGAGACAAAATTGCAAGTTTTTATCAGCGGCGTCAGAACATAATAAAGGATTATGTGTCAAGTAATTTAACAGAAAAAAGGTTAGAAATAAGACGACAGAGATGAAAAAAAAAAAAAAGTAATTGCACACACACACACACACACACACACACACACACACACACACACACACTCAAACTATGTTAAAAGGACAACATAATGTAACTTCAGCTAGACACAGTGAGAAATATGTCAACAACTTTTAAAAACACTTTTTTTTTTTAAATGAACACTTAATTCCCAAAATTTTTTTTTTTTCAGTTTTAACCAATTTACTTTTAATTGCAACTTTACAGTAATGTATAGAAAAACACAATAAATAAATACGGCAGTAAACGTGTATTTCAATTTGTGTTATTCTTCGTGTGGTTTCGGGGGCCCTATTATAGGGAAAAAAAGCATAAGCATAATGTCTACCCAAAAGAATGTCGTAAGAGTCGACTAACTGGAAGCTTCCTTCGACATCAGAGTGCATCTGCCTGAGGGGCAAGGAACCAGCAGTCTGCATACACATGAGTCAGATCTGTAAAACGGATGCAGACGCAACACTCAGGTTCTCGAATAGAACTGCAGTCCCGAAGTGGATGAAAAACCATAACTTTTTTGCCAGAGTTTACAGCTAGTGAACGCGAGAAGAAGAAGAAGAATAAGAAGAAGAAGAAGAAGAAGAAGAAGAAGAAGAAGAAGAAGAAGAAGAAGAAGAAGAAGAAGAAGAAGAAGAAGAAGAAGAAGAAGAGGAAGAAGAAGAAGGAGAAGAAGAAGAAGAAGAAGAAGAAAAAATAGAAGAAGAAGAAGAAGAATATGTGTTATTTCATTCCACGAATTGAACATTCTAGTCATAGGTTGTATTGGATTATATATTTATTGACGCAAATAATTAACCACCATATGATAGTAATGATTTGTATATATATATATATATATATATATATATATATATATATATATATATATATATATATATATATATATATATATATCATATTACCGTTGCAAAACATTATTTCCCTAGTCTACACTCTAAGAGTATCACGAGGATGTCACCACAATGGTTAGTAATGAACGATATACCTTATACAAGTGCTCTACACAAGGGTTCTACACAAAGGATAGTGTGTTGCTTCTTTTTTTATTTTAAAATCAGTGATACGCCTCGCAGTCTGGCATTCCTTCAGAATTGTCGATACACGTCATACCATTGTAAAAAACTACACAAAGCAGTCAACTACCATGTCGTCCGAAGCTGAATCGAAATCCGAAAATTCGGAGATATGAACCTCGTTTCTAACTATCAAAATTTTTTTTTAATGAATTTCCAGAAACCTTAAAATGTTAACTCTTTGGCCCAGTACCATGAATCTCGCAACACTTCGGCTTTGATTCCATGATAGATACTGTAAATCTGGGAGAAATGTGGCTCTCATGCGTACCCCCGGTTGTAAACCCGGACCACAAGAAGTTTGTCATCTGGTCATCGCGAAGTCAGTTTTAACCAACTACTCTAGCGATCAGGGCTAACTAGCAGGATAAATATATGTTTGTTGTTGTTGTTGTTGCAAACAAATAGGCTTAGAATTCCCCCCCCCCCCCCCCCCGCCCTGGTTAAAAATGTCTATAACTTGAAATAAAGAGACATCATTAAACCTATACGCGAAATTAAAGACAACACATTAAAAAAAATTAAATATAATGCGAAATACTTCTCTGGCTGCTGTTTCCAAAGCAAGTCGTTCCAAAACAGTCTTTGCTTCTGCTGTGTTGAGCGGAACTCTACACGTTACTTTAGGTAACAGTGTCCTAAACTTTCTGTTGTATCGTTTTCTTTCCTGTACTAATTGTATTCCGTCCTCTGTAGGAAAATTGTGCAGATGTTTCAAGTAAATGCAAGGCTCCATGTTAACATATGTATGTATGTATGTATGTATGTATGTATGTATGTATGTATGTATGTATGTATGTATGTATGTATGTATGTATGTATGTATGTATGTATGTATGTATGTATGTATGTATGTATGTATGTATGTATGTATGTATGTATGTATGTATGTATGTATGTATGTATGTATGTATGTATGTATGTATGTATGTATGTATGTATGTATGTATGTATGTATGTATGTATGTATGTATGTATGTATGTATGTATGTATGTATGTATGTATGTATGTATGTATGTATGTATGTATGTATGTATGTATGTATGTATGTATGTATGTATGTATGTATGTATGTATGTATGTATGTATGTATGTATGTATGTATGTATGTATGTATGTATGTATGTATGTATGTATGTATGTATGTATGTATGTATGTATGTATGTATGTATGTATGTATGTATGTATGTATGTATGTATGTATGTATGTATGTATGTATGTATGTATGTATGTATGTATGTATGTATGTATGTATGTATGCATGCATGCATGCATGCATGCATGCATGCATGCATGCATGCATGCATGCATGCATGCATGCATGTATGTATGTATGTATGTATGTATGTATGTATGTATGTATGTATGTATGTATGTATGTATGTATGTATGTATGTATGTATGTATGTATGTATGTATGTATGTATGTATGTATGTATGTATGTATGTATGTATGTATGTATGTATGTATGTATGTATGTATGTATGTATGTATGTATGTATGTATGTATGTATGTATGTATGTATGTATGTATGTATGTATGTATGTATGTATGTATGTATGTATGTATGTATGTATGTATGTATGTATGTATGTATGTATGTATGTATGTATGTATGTATGTATGTATGTATGTATGTATGTATGTATGTATGTATGTATGTATGTATGTATGTATGTATGTATGTATGTATGTATGTATGTATGTATGTATGTATGTATGTATGTATGTATGTATGTATGTATGTATGTATGTATGTATGTGTATGTATGTATGTATGTATGTATGTATGTATGTATGTATGTATGTATGTATGTATGTATGTATGTATGTATGTATGTATGTATGTATGTATGTATGTATGTATGAATGTATGTATGTATGTATGTATGTATGTATGTATGTATGTATGTATGTATGTATGTATGTATGTATGTATGTATGTATGTATGTATGTATGTATGTATGTATGTATGAATGTATGTATGAATGAATGTATGTATCAGGTTTGTCTGTATACGTATGAGAATAAATGTATGTAAATGTAGCCGTGTAAGTATGTGTGTGTGTGTTTTTATGCATGTATGTGGATGTATGTAGGTATATGTAAATGTATCGGTATATGGTGTGTGTCTTTTTATAAATGTAGGTATGTGTTTGAGTATGTGTGTATGTATTATGGATGTGTATTTGTAAAGTAACTATGCATTTGTGTGTATGTATGTGTTATCTGGGCATGTGTGTGATTGTGGGTAAATGTGTGTGTGGATATGTGAAGGTATATTTAGGTTTGTAAGTATGTGTCTATATATATATATTTTTTTATGTATGTGGAAAGTATGTGCGATGCATGTATGCATGTGATGTATATATGTGCGTATCTGTATGGGTGATTGTATATGTATATATGCATGCATGTTTGTCTATTTAGGTATGTATGTATGTGTGTAAAGATGTAGGTATATGTATGCATGTATGTGTGTGTATGTATGCATGCATGTGTGTGTATTTAGGTAAGTATGAAAGTATGTATGTGTGTAAGTATGTGAGTGTATGTATGGATGTGTGTATGTATGAAAGTATGTATGTTTAAGTATTTGAGTGTATGTATGGATGTGTGTATGCATGTACATGTAGTCCATGTATGTATGTATGCATGTGGATGTATGTATGTGTGCATATATGTATGTAGGTGCATGTATTATGTATGTCTGTATATGTATGAGAATGTTTCTTTGTAAATGTATCTGTGTAAGTCTATGAGTGTATGTGTATTCATACATGTATATGGATGTTTGTCGGTATATGTAGCTGTGTATGTATGTGGATGTGTGTGTATTTATGAATGTATGCAAGTATGCGTGTATGTAAGCATGTGGGTATGTATTATGTATGTGTATGTATGAATAAAAGTATCTATATGTGTGTATATATGTATGTATTATCTGGGTGTGTGTGTGTGATTGTGGGTGTGTGTGTGTGCATGCATGTGGATATATGAATGTATATTTAAGTCTGTTTGTGTGTTTATTTATGTATATATGCTGTAAGTATGTGTGACTGTATATGAGTGTATGTGTGTACATAATGTAGGCAAGTATGTATGTATGCATGAGTGTATGCATGTATGTGAGTATCTGTATGGGTGATTGTATATGTGTGTATGCATGCATGTGTGGGTATGTATGTAATGTGTGTCAGCATGTATGTGTGTGTGGGTATGTATCCATGTTTGTGGATGTGTGTATGCATTTGTAGATGTATAAGTATGTGGGTGTACGTGTGTGTATTTAGGTATGTATGCATGTATGTGTGTATGTATTGATGTGTGTATGTATATGTGTGTATGTATGTTTACATGTGAGTGTAAATGTGTGGTTGTGGGTGTCTGTACATGTGATTGTATGTTTGTGTATGCATGCATGCATGTGTAGGTGTGTATGTATGGTATGTGTGTGTCTTTTCTGTGTGTATGTGTTAGGTATGTCTGTATATGAGTATGCATGTATGAGAATGTGAGAGCATATATATATATATATATATATATATATATATATATATATATATATATATATATATATATATATATATATATATATATATATATATGGGTGAGTGTGTAAGATTGTGTACACATGATGTATGTATTATATTCTATAATGTATATTTTTATTCTATATCTATAACATGCATTTTAGATTACAGGCATTGGAACTCTGAAAAATGAGTGCTTAGAAGGGCCGAATGTCAGACGGGCCTCTGTGCCCAATTTGTAACCCTTCGAAAATAAAGTTTGTTACTTCGTTCGTTCGTTCGTTCATATAAGTGGCGTATATGGTTATCAGTAATCAACCGGTTCTTCACAGAAAGATCACTCTCGTCACAGCACGCTTGTAAATGTTTCTTTCTCTAGCCAGTTCTCAAGCCATAATGCACTTTCATTGCCAGTGCATCTGTCTCTTGTATTTACTTACGCAGAAGTCAGTTTCTGGCTCACTTTGTTTATATATTATTGCTCACATATTTTAATCTCTCAACACCCTGTCACATATCGCTCCTGTCGCGTGCCTGATTTAAGGATTTCTCCTTAAGAACCAACAGCACTCTGAAATAATTATGTTGAGTCATTGGCTCGTATTGGTCTAAGGGATATCCCGTGGCCAATATACGCTCAACTTATTCCAGGAGTAGGGCAACTCAAGCTCTGGCACTATAAAATATATAATATTCCTAGGCACACTTGGCTGGACACCGCCACTACTATAAAAAGGTAGCCCCAAGGTTATGATAGTATACTATCATAGCCATGTTAACACAGATAACACTTATTACTCACACAAACATCAAAGCTAGACAGTTAGAATGGTGAAACAGGGACACCCAAGTCAGCCATGAAAATGTATGCATGTAATCAGCACAAAAGATATACATATAATAATGAATATATAAACAAGAGTTCAGTGAATGGAGCTCAGGAATCAATGACACAGCCCAGATGTTGAAACAGCCAGAGTTCGTTCTTCACAAGTATGCAGTTCATCATGGTGAACTAAAGGTGAGCATGGATAGAGAGCATGTAGGACATCCTTGATGTACTTATCCCAACTGGTATGTCTCTGCTCCCCTCAGTCTATGGTGACTTGAATCGGCTGACTCAATAGATGGCGTTTCTCTCTGGTTGATTTGGCACCCACTGATCGTCCTACATATGAGGACAAAAGAACTTCACTGGAGACCAACACAGCTCCCGAGGAAGACTCCATTGGATTAATGACACAGGTGGCCTGCAATACTGTCTTTCAGCCACTGGAACTCACACACAATTTCCTGGAGAAGGATTCTTCGGGTTGATGACACAGGTGCCATGCAAAACTGTCACTCAGCCACTGGAACTCACACACAAACTCCTGCCATGTTGATGTTCTGCCTACAATAGGTAGGGTTTTGGGGTGGAATTTGTTATTGGAATGGTATGGGATGGTAATTGCTGGTTATAGGTTGGTGATTGCTGGTTATGTGTTGGTGATTGCTGATTATGGACTGTGATTCGTCTGTCTGACTTCTAAGGAGATTTCATCCTATCAGGAAAAACAAAATCAGAATTAGTAATCATCTTTAGATGCACACACCAGCTCAACTTATTTTCTGCTACCCTTCTAGTCACTCAGAGTATACTTTCAAGAACAGGAGACCATGTCCCCTTTCATTACTCTGTCTGTAAATTAGTGCAACAGATAGAAAACAAGGTATATAGTGGAGATAGATAGACACTATCACACATAGATAATCCTCTCTCCACACTCCCATCTGCACTCGCAGACATACAATGTACACAGTTAGTACGTATATAAATTTCACGTCTAAACAGGCCGTTCACTACACAATCACTGAATCTGTGTCAAACACACTTTCGACTCGGAGCGTCTAACTCTAAAACTTTACTTTAAAAGATGACCCAGATTCTTTATCTCTGCTAGGAGCCACAAAACTTCGTTTGTCTGGTCAGAGAATAATTACTTGTAGGGTTTAATATCTTTACAAATAGTGTGGGTTATATAGAGCACAAACTAATTAGTCTGCACAGGGAAAGGTTTAATGTTCGGAACCTGATCTCTGGACATCAAGAACGGCCCAACTCTGTGCGATCACACAGCTGAATCTTCCCTCTCTGCAGCAGTGGCCAACTTTAAAAAGACATATTTTTAGTACTCGTAAACTATAATCAACTTAC